TTAATTTTCTGCAACTTTTACTTTCGATTGGGATCGATTCTTTTGTATCTTGTTTTAATATTGTGTGGTTCTAGCCTTTTCACATATATAAAAAGACAAATTTCTGCCAAAAAATGAAATGGGTAATGTACAAACAACTTATTCCTTTGGTCTATGCAAGTAATGAAATTAGAATAAAGCTTCTTGTACATTAGTTGGCTGACATGCAGTTTGACATTCCATATATTTTCAAATGCAAATGGGCGGAAAAGTGTATTTTATTTTAAAATTGTCGATTCATGTCACAACACGTGGCACAATGTCAAACTTGATGCCAAATGAAATGTACACGTAGCATGATTGATATGATTGATGTAACTAACACCCCCACATTGAAACTCAAATTATACTTTTACTTTGAGAAGTGTTTCTCATTTCTTATTTTTGCTTACGCCGACAGCGACAGCCGCGTGTTTCACTTTGGAGTTCCAAGAAATTTCTTTTGTTGATCCCGCCTTTGCATTTTTTCTTTCAACAGACGCAAACCGTTCCTCCAAATGCAGCAATGTTCCCTGTTGATTAATTGCTTTGCTCTAATGGCTATTGGGACATTTGAATTGAGGTTCGTTGCTGTAAATTTCATTCGCTTTCTATGCTTTTCTTGCATATTTACTGCAACTTTGAGTTTAATAGGAACAGCCGAACAGGCTGACATTTTTTTCACCATATTCAATTTTTCAGACAGGAAATATTTTACCAATTATACCCTTACAGTTCAAAAGTTTAGAGAAGCATAGACTAGGATGTAAAATATAGAAGCCCATTTTGATTGTGGCATCTTCACAGTAATTTTGGTGGTCAATCAACAATGTGATAAGAAACAGTCAGATGAATGTGTAAGAATATTTGATTGAAAGACCGAATATGAACATGAAATTTTTTACTCATGTGGATGACAAAAAAATTGAAATCAAACTACATTCAGATAATTATAATTTCTCAACATTGTACTGTGTGTTCTCTTGAATAAGTATATAAATGAACAAAAAACTGCTTTATGGATATGGTAATAGAAAAAAAATATTTCTATGATTTTGGCCATCTATTGGTGTCCCGGAGGGAGTCTGTTTGGCATTAATCGCTGTTGTTGGTTGAAAACCCACAACAGCTATCCCGCTTATTGGAGTTCTTTTATGACCATTTTTGTGTAGATTTTCCGCACTTTGATGAAATAGATGCTTCTTTGGGATGTTTCACTTTGCAGTCATTCCACTCCATTTGCATTCCTAATGGAAAAGAATGCATTGTGATAGTTTGTTAATGCGTTGCTTATTCGTTATCTAAGGCTACATGCTATCATCATCAGAACTAATATCACGCCGTATGTTGTATCGGCTGAGTACTGGAAGCGATGCATTTACAGGAACTCTGAATGATCTACCAGCTCCCACGGTTGTTTGTACCTTCATCCTCCCGACATCATTGCACACGTTATCCAATATGGAGAGGAAATCTCGTACAATCATGAAAATTCTCAAAGGATGGGCCTCCTCTTTTGCAGTGTCTCCATGGAAATACTCCGTCGCTTCTTTCACCAAGGCTAAGGCTTTTCTTTCTTCTGCCTTAATCCTGGTGATTTCTTCTTCAGCCTCTTTAAGAAACATTTTCATAGAATCGAAAAAGTTACTTTGTGTACTTTGCTTTTCATTTTGCGGAATCAACCTGACTTTCTCAAGACCCATTTCAAGCTTGGAGACATAGCTACTCAAGACATCTGAGTCCATTCCTGCTGCCTTTTTGACACTGCCAAGCTCTTTGCTTAACCCTGCTACAACTTGCAATCCTTGCTTCATAAACTCCTCATCTTTAAATCTGAAATCTGTTTCATGCGGGAGGCTTTTGATTATAGGATCAGAACTTGCTCCTTCGGACCTGATGATCTCTTGGACTACAAAATGAAGTAAGGTTGTCTTACCATCTGTTCCCTTTATGTCCACTAATTTCAACAAAGTATCCAGTTTAAAAGCTCTGGCATCCCCACGGTTTGTACCAACATTCATACGGTTTCCTGTCCTTAGAACAGCTTCAAGGAGTCTAAGAAACAGGCGACTATTTTTCAATTCTTCGCTCGCTTCCTGTATTATGTGACAATCTATGTGTAAGAAAATTCATGCAATGAAAGGTTAACCGAGATTTCCAGGTGCACTAGAATAAAAGAAATTAACAAAATCATTCTATCAATTATCAAAGACTTATCACAATAGTAGCCATGTTGAAACAGTTGACAATACCTTTAGCGTTTGAAAGGAATTTCTCAAGTATTTTACTTCTGTAGTGAAGTTTGCTCTATATAGCATAGCCTCCACTCTTTTAAAAGCAAATGGAATGTCTAGTATTGCCTTGAGGAACCGCTCTGCTGTCCCTAACTTAGAGCTGTCACCACTGTAGTCTTTAAGTTTTATTTCTTCCTCCTTGGTTGGTGCCATCTTCACTAAAGTCTCCAGAAGCTCAGAACCCAATCCTTCTGGATTTCCTGCAACACCAAAACATGTGATAGAAAAAAAGTTATGTCACAAAGGAGTAATAACTAGTGATCAACTCAATAACAGGCAGAAGTATTTCAGCGGCTTTTGCATCATATACTGACATTCTAAGAGCATGCTTGGTACGCAGTGCTGAAAGAACTAAACAATATAAGAAACGAGATTCTAACTTCTTTTTCTTCCTTAATATTCTCCAGTATTATTCTATCATTCCTACAAATCATACCATAGGTGGAATCACATGCATGTCTATTATGCATTACACATCTGAGTATGCTGAAGTGGCATGGCTATCACTTGACTCATTTGTTGAACTAGTTGTGCAAGAGGATGAAGTATGCTTCTGAAGTTGATTTCAAGAGCTAGTTATATTTCACAATCAAGACACAAAGTTTTACCAGTATTGGGTATCAAATAAATATATGCCCAAATTCTGCAGTTATCCTTGATTGCCTCCGAACAAAAATGGAATAGAATCAAACCCACCCTCATTCATGCACAGGAGCCTTCTCTGTCATTTTTGAACCATTATTTATAATTATTGTAAACCACTAACTTGAATTAGAAAATTATCAGCTGCCTTTTGACTTGCACTTGCAGTGTCAGATTATTTTATTGTTCTGACTCCACAACCTCACTGTAAATTTTAAGGGGGACAGAGTATACTAGTTTGTTTCCGTAATCTTAATTTGCCGATTAATGAAATATTTGCCTATCACTTTGTATAATTTGCCAGCTAATCTGTAATGAAGAACCTTCCTCTAAAGAATTAAACCTTGGGGGATTTCTTTTGGGTGGGCAAGGAAAGAGGTAATATCATAGCGATAAATTATATTGGAGAATTGGTGCGGAAGCTTTTATGAAATTCTTGTAATAAGAATTGAAAATAAGAATTACATTGGAATAATCTTACTTTGTATTGAATAGTAATTAATTTTTGTTGAAAAAGTGTACNTCCTTGTGTTGAAAAGTGTACAATGCATTTATATTTATAGAAAAAATTATTCCCTAATTCTATTAATAAAAGAAAACTAAAATAAGGAAACTAATAAAATCCTAATCTAATTAAAAATTCTATTCTAATCAATAGATAAAAGAAATTCTATTTTAAACAAGAAATAAGAATAAAAAAATAAAACCTATTAGAAAAGGTAAATACAACTAGAAAAGATAAATCACAATTGTAGAAGGAAACTACTAATCATGATTTTGTACTACATCAACCCCCTCCACTAAGATAAAATTCGTCCTTGAGTTTTCTTGAAGAAAAAAATCAAGCAATTGGGAGGAAAATACTAAAAAATTTATGCAAATATCGATATTGAAAAAATGACAATTTCTTGATGAGCTCAATAAACGTCATTATATTCTTCGATTGCATTCTTCAAAATCAACTTTGTTCCTATTATGCTTGTTATATTTTCTTCATAAATAATTTGCAAATTATATTCCTTCATGATTTCTCATCATTAAGTTCGCTCTCGACAAAGGTCACTGGTGCTATTTTCAATTCTTCGTGCTTCTCACCTTTGCTGTAATGTTTAGTATTGCTTTCTTCAACACAAAAGAATTGGTACGCGGACTCAAATCCTCATCGTCCACGTTTTTCTTATTTTTATGTAATTCTTTGACACTAAAGCTGTAGAAAAGGTCAACAAAATTTTTATTCTCAATTTGACAATCTTTATCTTTTACTTCTTCGTGATTGCAAAATTTAATTTTTTCTTTTGTTGGACACTTCTGATCCTCAACTTGTGCATCTTTGGAGTGCGGCTCGATCTTGAAGTTTTCAATTATAGTTTCCATATACAAGGAATCAACAGGTCTCGGATTTTAAACTTGCACATGCTTTTCTTTTTCTGTTTTAGTACCATGGTTGGTAACATCTTGATTATCTTGAATTACTTTTTTTTTTGCCGCATCATCTGCCTTATAAGCCATTTTCTCTTTGTTATCTTGAATTACTTTGTTGGTATATATACAAATGACTAGTACTATATTGAGATAGAAATTAGGGCTAACTCTATTTACTAGACTATTTTAGGAAATAATCTCTAACACTCCCCCTCAAGGTGGAGCATAGATATTTATCATGCTCATTTTGTTACAAAGATAATTCACCCGAACTCCATTTAGAGCCTTTGTGAAGATATCTCCCAATTGTTCTCCAGTTTTCACATACCCTGTAGAAACCAAACTTTGCTGAATCTTCTCACGAATGAAATGACAATCAATCTCAATATGTTTCGTTCATTCGTGAAAGACTGGATTAAATGTAATATGAAGTGCAGCTTAGTTATCACACCATAACTTAGCTGGTATTGAGGTCTTGAGGCCCACTTCGGTGAGGAGCTGATGTATCCACATTATCTCACACACGGATTTAGCCATTGCCCTATATTCTGGTTTTGCACTCGACCGTGAAACTACACTTTGCTTCTTGCCTTTCCATGAAACCAAATTTCCTCCGACAAATACACAGTAGCCGAATGTAGATCTTCGATCTTCCTTAAATCCTGCCCAATCAGCATCTGAAAAACATTCAATCCTGATATGACCATTTTTTCCATACAGAATTCCTCTCCCAGGTGTTCCTTTCAAGTAGCATAAAATTTGTTCTACAGCTCTCCAATGATCGATAGTTGGGGAAGACATATACTGACTTACCACACTAACTGAATAGACAATGTCTCGACGAGTAACAGTAAGATAGTTCAACTTCCCAACCAATTTTCCATATTGTTCAGGGTCTTTAAATAGTTCACCGTCTTTTGTGAGTTGCAAATTTGGAATCATTGGAGTGCTATATGGTTTAACCCCCAATTTTTCAGTTTCAGTCAACAAGTCAAGTACATACTTTCTCTGAGATAAGAGGATCCCTTTCTTACTTCTCGTCACCTCAACCCCCAAGAAATACTTTAGTGTTCCTAAATCTTTTGTGTGAAACTGACCGTGGAGAAAAGATTTGAGAGATGAAATACTGCCATAATCACTCCCAGATAATGTCATCAACATAGACGACTAATAGGATGATACCAGCTGCAGACTGTTTATAGAAAACAGAATAATCGGACTTACTCTTCTTCATGCCAAACTTTTCAATAGCCTGACTGAACTTTCCAAACCAGGCCCGGAGACTTTGTTTCAAGCCATACAAGGATTTACGAAGATGACACACTTTCCCATACTCCCCCTGAGCAACAAGGCTAGGTGGTTGCTCCATTTACACTTCCTCCTGAAGATCACCATGAAGGAATGCATTCTTAATGTCTAACTGATGCAGAGGCCAATGATACGTGGCTGCCATAGAAATAAATAACCTGATCGATGTGAGTTTAGCGACAGGAGAGAATGTTTTAGAGTAATCCACTCCATATGTTTGAGCATACCCCTGAGCAACAAGCCGAGCTTTTAATCTAGCAACAGTCCCATCAGGATTGACTTTCACTGCAAAAACCCATTTACATCCAATAACTTTTTTACCTGTAGGTAAGTGTACCAAGGTCCAAGTACCATTGTCATCTAAAATATTCATCTCCTCAACCATAGCACTACGCCATCCAGGATGAGACAAAGCATCATGAACAATTTTAGGAATAGTGACAGAATTAAAAGATGCAACAAAAGAACAAGACGATGGTGATAAATGGTTATATGACACAAAAGAAGAGAATGGATAAGTACATTGACGCTTACCTTTGCGAAGTGTAATAGGAAGATTATCGCTTGAACTGGGACCTAGATCTGATGATGAAGGAACCGGTGCAGGACATGAAACAGGAGGTGGAGGAACAGGAGCAGGGTCAGGAGTCGTAGCTTGTTGGCGGCGAGAGTAAACCTGTGTTATAGGAGGTTTAGCAGTAGCAGATGAAGGAAGATTAGAACTAGGGGATGTACAAGTGTAGATTAATAGATCATCATCATCCCACAGACTCATAGATTTTGAGGATGAAGCAAATGGTGTTTGTTCCAGGAATGTGACATCAGCAGACACAAGGTACCGTTAAGATTGGGACAGTAACATCGATACCCTTTTTGTACACGAGAATAGCCAAGAAATATACACTTTAGAGATTTGGGATCAAGTTTTGTAACATGAGGTCGAACATCCCAAACAAAACAAGTACAACCAAACGTCCTAGGTTCAATAGGAAATAAGGACTTGTGAGGAAAAAGGATATGAAAGGGAGTCTCACCAGATAGGATGGATGAGGGCATGCTGTTAATCAGAAAACAGGCAGTAGAAACGGCATCAGCCTAAAAATATTTAGGGACCTGCATTTGAAATAACAGAGCTCTGGCCATTTCAAGAAGATGCTATTTTTCCTTTCAGCCACTCCATTCTGAGATGGTGTATCAACACAAGAAGTTTGATGAATTATTTGGAGTTTGTGTACTCTGGCAAGGGGAATATCAAACATACCTATGAGGTGTGCCAAGCTTTTTATCGTGCAGAAAAGGGTGATAGATCTTTTACTGACTACTTTATGGACTTTAAGAAGACTCATGAGGAGCTTAATATGCTACTCTCATTCAGTACTGATATAAAAGTTCAGCAAGCTCAGAGAGAGAAAAGATGGCGGTTATGAGCTTCTTAGCTGGTCTTCCTTCTGAATTTGAGACAGCTAAATCTTAAATTCTTTCTAGTCCTAAGATATCCTCCTTAGAAGAAGTTTTTAGTAGGGTACTCCACACAGAATATTCAGTCTCTACTCAACCTAATAGTGCTCTTGTCAATCGCACTTTTGAATCTGGGATACGGCCATTTAGAAGTGGCAATAAAGGGGAAAACTCAAGTAACTATGATCGAAATCTTAATATTCAAGGAAAGGATTCGGGAGGTGTTGTATGTTACTATTTTCATAAGCCAGGACATGTGAAGAGAGATTGTAGAAAGTTGCAGCGCAAAAATCAGTCGAGCCAGTCAGCCCATTTGGCCTCTACTAATGATACCTCTGAGCCTATTCTAATATCTGCAGATGAGTATGCCAAATTCTCACAATATCAGGAATCTTTACAGTCTTCATCTAATCCATCACAGCCATCGCTGATTCAGGTAAAATGAACACATGTCTTGTTTCTTCATCTTCCAAATGGGTCATTGATTCTGGTGCCATAGATCACATGACAGGTAATTCTAATTTATTCTCTTCTTTTCAGTCACATGCCTCTAGTTCTACAGTTACTTTAGCAAATGGGTCTACATCTCATGTTCTGGGGTCCAGCACAATTACTCCAACACCCTCAATTCCTTTACAATCTGTTTTAAGCCTACCAAACTTGTTCTTTAATTTAGTCTCTGTCAGTAAGCTCACTCGTTCTCTTAATTGTTGTGTCTCATTCTATCCTAATTTTTGTGTGTTTCAGCATCTTATGATGAAGAAAATTATTGGTAAAGGACATGAGTCTGAAAACCTCTACATTCTCGATACACAAATACCAAAGTCTGTTGCACGTTCTAGAGTTGTGACCCCTTTTGAAGCACATTGTCGAATCGGTCATCCTTCTTTGTCGATATTAAAGAAACTTTATCCTCAGTTTTCTAGTCTATCTTCGTTAGATTGTGAGTCTTGTCAGTTTGCCAAACATCATCGTTTGAGCTCTAGTCCCAGAGTCAATAAAAGAGCTCATGCTCCTTTTGAGTTAGTTCACTTCGATGTTTGGGGTCCATGTCCTGTTGTGTCAAAATCTGGATTTAAATATTTTATTACCTTTGTTGACGATTATTCTCGAATGACATGGTTATTTTTAATGAAAAATCGTTCAGAATTGTTCTCTCACTTTACAGCCTTTTGTTGTGAAATCAAAACTCAATTTAATGTTCCTATCAAAACTTTGAGAACTGATGACGCTAAGGAATATGTGTCACAACAATTCCATAATTATATGGTTCAACATGGAATTATCCATCAAACTTCTCTGTTTACTAGGAAGCTTGTTGATATATACACAAATGACTAGTACTATATTGAGATAGAAATTAGGGCTAACTATATTTATAAGACTATTTTAGGAAATAATCTCAAACATTGTTCATAAATTGCTCATCAAATGACGCTAGGGATGGCAAAAAAGCTCGTCGGCTCGGCTCGGCTCGGCTCGTAAAAAGCTCGAGCCGAGCCCAGCTCGGGCTCTCGGTTACACCGAGCCAAGGCTCGGGCCAACCTCATTTTTTTTGCCGAACTTTGCTCGACTCGGCTCGGGCCCAAAAAAGCTCGGCCCCAAAAAGCTCGAGTCGAGCCCAAGCTTTTTTCTTTAATCTATAGTACGTATAAACCGTACAAATTTTGAATTTTTTAAGTAAAAATGTAGATTTGACATTTAAAAGAAAAAACCCCCAAAAGGCTCGATGCGGGCTCGGCTCAGTCCGCTAAAGCTCGAGCTGAGCCTCATTTTTTTTTGCCGAGTTTAGCTCGGCTCGGCTAGGGCCCAAAAAAGCTCGAGCCGAGCCCGAACTTTTTTTTTTTTTACTCGGCTCGACTCGTTGACATAGCTAAATGACGCCAAGACAATCTTTTTATCGTACCATCTAAACACATATCTATTATCTCGATGTATGTAAGTGATATCTACATCATAGTACCATGGTTGTCCCCGAAGTACAAGACAATCGTACATCTCTACCACGTTAACATATAATCTCATCTTTATAGTACTTTCTAAGAGAAAGTGAAATTTTACATACCTCTATATTTTGAATTTCTTGTCCATGTGAAGCTTGATAGCAAGATGAGTATTTTCTAGGCTTCAAATTTAAAGCTTTCATCAATGTTTTGAACAACGAGTTCTGACTACTCTTATGATTTATTATCACTTTGCATACTTTGTTGTTGATGGTGCATCATGTTTTAAAAATTTTATTGCGCTTCAAATTGGATTTTTTTCTATTTTCTCGATAGACTTTCGTAGAATCCTTGATAATTTGTGTGTATTCAAATTTAGCTGGGACGTGAGGAAACTCTCTAGCCACCTGTTGCCGTATTTTAATCTTATTGAAGCAACCAACATTCATAGAAGTTAAAGTTTGCAAATTCTTGTTAGCTTGCTTCTTCATGGGCTCTTACTTCCTTTTAAAATTCAACGCTGTCAACATGTGGGTGATGTTATGAAGGGTTTTATCAATCCTCTCGATTCGCTGTTCAAGTTTGTCTAGCCTCTGTTTATCATTGATAGTTCGACTGCCACCACGACCATAGTCGGCCATCAGATTGAGACAATTTCCTTGCTCTGATACCAATTTTGGTGCGGAAACGTTTATGAAATTCTTGTAATAAGAATTATATTTGAATAATCTTGCTTTGTATTGATATATGATTAATTTTGTTGAAAATTGTACAATGTCTTTGTATTTATAGACAAAAGTATTCCCTAATCTTATTAATAACAAGAAACTAAAACAAGGAAACTAATAAAATCCTAATCTAATTAAAAATCATATTCTAAACAAGAAATGAGAATAAAAACATAAGACCTATTAGAAAAGATAAACACAACTAAAAAAGATAAATCACAAATGTAGTAGGAAACTACTAATCATGATTATGTACTATATCAATCCCCTCTACTTGTAGAAAAGATAAATCACAATTGTAGTAGAAAACTACTAATCATGATTATGTACTACATCAAGAACTCCAAGTAAAAAGTCGAGAGGCTAGGCATGAAGCAGATTGTTTTGCGCCAAGTAGAAAGTCATAGAATATAAATACTTTGCATGCATCCACCCGTTTCCCTTTTGTGAATAGTCTTTTATGTACTACTTGATCAAATGGATATTATTCATAATTTTGTCCCTCAATTCCTAATTAATTGTCTATAAAATTTATCGCCTATGCATATGCCTTTGTATAGAGAAAACAAATTAGACTAGTTTCTACTGAAATTCTAGAATAACTTGAATTCACTTTTCACTTGCAGGAAATGATGAGAAGGTTTACATACCATCTAAAAGTGATTCAACAACCTCGTCTCTTGTGACATTCAATGCTCGTAACATTATAGCAATGTTCTGTGACTTCTTTGGATCTAGTACTCTGTTCTGTTCTAAAGGAGGAAGGGACTTCCTAGTTGATTCTTTAGTTACTGAATTTGCAGAATTGCATCCAAAAAGTGACTCCATGGCATCCTCATTTAACCTGCAAGATAAGAATTACTTAATAAAAATTTGGACAACATCATTACTAAAGAATGTATAGCATTTTACTTACTGGAAGGAGCTTGACTTTATGCGGTCCCAAACCGTGGCTCGGTCTGAGGTCGCTCTTACTTTGTCCCAATGCAAAGGCTTCAACTTGGGTTTTGATCCATCCTTATCATCATCATCATCATCAAATTTCCTCGACGTACTTTCACCTTTATTAACTTCTTTAACTGGGCTTCTCCTTTCAGTCCCTGGGCTTGACTTTGGGCTATAACTTTTTGATTGTGGTCTAACTTGTGGTTTAGAAACAGGTGGTATGTTTGTTTCCACAGTCCCCAATTTTCTTGGTGTCGGCAAAGGCGGCGGAGGCGGTGGCGGTGGAGGTGGCATTGTGAACTTAGATGCTCGCTGCTCTTCATCATTCATTGATTGAAGCCGTGCCATATTTGGTGGTGGAGGTGGCGCTGAAAACTTGGCCCGTTTAGGAATATTAGGCAGTGCTGGTCTACTAGCCTGCAGTGGCCCTAAAGGACTAGTTGCAGTTGGTGCTGGAGGAGAAGGCATTGTCGATTGTTTGATTGGTGGTATGATTGGATATTTACTATCAGGAGACGAGGCAGAAAGGCGAGATTTCGGTGAAGTTCTCTTGGAATGGGGGACAGAAGAAGCAACACGACTATCCAGCTTGGCCTGGTTCATCTGGCCAGTATTGTTGCTTGAGTAGAAATGACGTGAACTTGGGGACTCATTGCTCATAGATGACCCTTGCGGAGTGTAAAAGTTTGTTTCATGGCTCTCATCGTCCGAGGATGACATGGGGGGCGGTGAATTTATGCTAGGAGGCAGTGGGGGTTTGGTAAGTGGTGGCAGCGGCTGAAGGTCGGGGCTTGGCCTATATCGATCCGATATTTTTCCTGAATTCAATTTTCTATACGGTGAACCATTGACACCATTGCTATCAGTACTCACTGCTGTACCTCTGGTGGATGGCTCCACAGTCCCAATGTACAAAAAGGTGGATGGTGGAATTCTTGATTCTTCATTAGTCCTTTGTGAATTGCTGCCAACAAGTTTTTGGGACTCATCAGAGTGTCTTACTCTGTGCTTGTACAAATAGAACGCTAAAGCTGACAACATTCCTAATGCGACAGTTCCAACTGATATTGCAATTGCCACTTTCTTGATTGGCTTAGTTGCTGCCTGCTGCTGCTGATTGGTAACTGGATTTGCCACAGGTATGCCATTGGCTGGCGCAGGAGGAGACTGCTGGACCTGATCTGGCGTCGGCCCAGTTTCGTGGAAGAAAGGCTGGTCTTGGTCCGGTGTGGCTGGCAGTGATGGAGGTGGTAGAGGCGGCGATGGTGGCGGCAAGATTTCAGATTGAGGAGGTGGTGGTGCTGAACTATCTGGAAACAATGGCTGATGCAGAATTCTCCTGTTATCACCAAGTGAATCTTGAATTCTGGGCTCCTTACCTATTGCAATTTCAAGCCTGGAAGATGTAGCCAATGATAGGATCAAGAAAATGCTAAAAATATGAGTCCTCATTGCGCTGTTTTCTTGGTAAGTTCTCTTATGTTCCTTTCTTTCAGGCTATTCATCTCTGTAATCAAGATTTAGAGAGAGAAAGAGAGAGGGGGGCTGTAAAGAGAAGCTTCTGTGAGCTGCAAGATCTAGATGCTCTGAATAGACGATCCTCGAGCAGTAGCTAGCTTCACTTTTTCATTTAATATTATTCCTAAAATTTTTTACATACAACTTTTCTTTATAAAATTAATAGTTTTTTAAAAGATAAATTGTGTAAATACTTATAAGAAAGATTGTTCAGACTTTACTACCATTTTTCACATGGAAAATAGCTCCATTAGTCATCAATCTATGAATTTTGTTGCAGTTTCATCCTCAACTTATTTTTTTGGCACTGGATTCTCCAAGCAATCCCTTTATTGAATGCCACTGACATTAAAATTTTAATTACTTTATTGTTAAGATGATTATAATCCACTGTAGTTATTATTAGTATGTTTGATGGATATTATAGAGGAAAAAATGTATTTTAAATAGTGATATGATGAAAATATGTAGTTAAAAAGTAAGGAAAAGTTATTAATGTGATTGAAAATATTATTTTATTGAAAAATGTGTGGCTGAAAATGAGTTTTGAAAGAATGTATTTTGAAATAATTTGTACCAAACATGGGCTATATATAAAAATGGAAAAAAAAAATCACAAAACCCGACCCCTAGTTGCTATTACCTTGACCTCCTTTGTTGTCCTTGCATAAACCCATGTGTTGTCGAATTGGCGAATTTTCATCGTTTCATTGTGTATGGAAGACCGGAAGTTTGGTGCTGGACGCAATAAAACTATTATGTTGAGGCAGTGACATCAAAAATAAGTTAAAAGGACAAAACAATAATATAATCAATAGACTGGGGACTAGTAATGCAATTTTCCCATTTTGCTATCGTGTTGTGAGGTTCATTTTTCAGTAAGGACAGAATGTGAAATAATTGGACGTAGTTGTCGGGATAAAAAGACCACGTTAGTCTTTGAAAAACAAAGCTTTTTGAGGTTGCAAGGGACGGTGGGTCACATATTCCTTTGTTTTGTTATTGCTGCCAATCAATTAAATTCTCTCCCCTCTCTCTTTTTTTTTTTCGATCAGAAATCACGTTCGTATCACTTCAAACACTTCACATTTTAGATAAACTCTGCGACTTTAATGTACATGATTTTTTACGTAACGATCTAGTTGTATCTCATATTGGTCACGAATCGTGAAAATTCTGTCTTGTTGATTTGTAAGCACTTATCCTTCAACTCAAGCTAATTTAAAGGGCAAATTCTACTCAAAATGGTTATTATAATTTGCCCGCATTGCGAATGGGTAACCTGAAAAAGGGCTTCTTTTGATGGAAGACTGGTTCTGTAGAGTTACCAGTCGAGAAAAATAGATCATTATAAATGTCAATAAAATGTAATGAGCGAATTGTATCTCGTATTATTCGTATTATCTGCCTTGTTACTTTATAATAAACACTTTGAAAATCCTCTTAAGATGATCCGATACAATCGATTTCTACCTTGCAAAATATTTTATTGGAACACCAAACCTCGAAAAGCATATGCTTTTAGCTTTTGATTTCTTTTTGAGTATCAATATTCATTCTAGTGGAATGACTCCACACACCAAAAGACACTGATATCCTTTTCAATACTTTATTTAAAGATAAAAAAAGAGTTCTCTAGATCTACACATCATATATATTCTTCATTAATATTAAAAATTCATGTCCAAATCTTGAGCAAGTTTAACATATGTAAAATGGAATATTCTCCTTTATTTTTTTCTAATAAAAAAGCAATTCATATACACTAATTTAATTATCATCTAGATGTGCAACTTTGGCCATGTCACCTAATTATTCTTTACGCGTTTTTTACATCTAGGCCAACTTATGCTCATAAAAGTTTGAACCTTGATTGTGTCGCCTAATTATATTTTACGCATTTTAAAACACTGTTTAGAGTAATGAAACGATAAAATTAGTTTCAGTTCACTCGATTTTGTGGTCGAGCCCTCGATCTGATTTTTTCACACATAGTCGGAATGGATTTTGGGCCGATCCTTAGAGTTCGCAACCAATCCAATCCGGTTCGTATAACGGATTAACCTCACCTTTTAGAAGATGATTATCCGTAACGAACACCATTAACACAAAGAGAATCATTATTCTTCTGTTATATTTCGATTCGTGATAATCCCTCTACGTTTATACCAAACTTTGGTCACTTAATTATACATTCATTCACTGGATTATAATTATTTTTGCCAAAAATAATGATACATTTCGGTGTGTTGTTGATAGAGTGGAAATGAATTTCTTTATAAGTTAATCCTAATTAATCATTAACAAGTTATTATCCTTTTTTTACAAGTAAAGTTTTGTTGACACTTGAATATGAATCATTTGGGGGTATATTTGGTAATATGATCTCGACAATGCTCGACGAAGTCAATAAAAAAATAAATTAAAATTTTATTTATTATATTGTCTAATTTTTGTAAATATAGTGTCATTATCCATGAATAAAAGACTTACCCTTTATGCTTGAAAAGCTAAGAAATATTCCATTTTCATGTGGCACGGCAAGCACAACCACCACCCCTCCCTACGTTCCTCCTTCACTCACCCCACCCTCTTGCTTCAATGTGATGAATTCGGACAATCTTAGACAAAAACAAAAGGGCCTTTCGTGCTTGCTAAGAAATCAAGTTTCATTTTAAAAGTCGATCGAGTAGTATAAATTCGCATATATTGTATATTTATCATTAAAATGTCCTTGTAAAATAGTGGCTCGCTTGAAAATATAGTTATTAAAATTCAATTGTTCTTTGAGCTTTATATAGATCATTTGCAAGTTTGAGTTCGATTGGATTCTGAAACTGTATTAAGCCACTGTTTGGTTCAACTAGAAAAATGATTAAAATTTAAGTCAAAGTTAATAATTAACTTTAACCATGCATCTTATGAGTCTCCAACTTTTCAACCACACATTCCATCAACTTTTATCAAAGTCGGTTACTAAAAAACCAAATAGGGACTAAGACTCGAATATCCATTTTCAAAGATCAACCTTGTTAAGAAAATTAATACGAACCTTATTTATTTCATCTTTATTTTACGTGAAAATTTACGTAAATATATAACATTTGAATTAAGCATTTTGATTTTACGTCTTTTATTGCACGACTCATGCTTTTATCGTCTCCGACTCTCTAGAATTATATGATTATTGTTGTTCGAAAAAGTGGATAAATTCAAATGTTACCGTTCCTAAAACGATAGATGTACCTAGTATTCACCATTTTAGTTTGAAGTGGGCAACACGAATGATTGTTGTCTTGTACGTAGGACACTTTTGCCTCCTTAATATTCTATGATATCCAACGCATGTTTTTTTGCTACGTAACTTCTCCAACCCAAAAGCAATGGGTGTTCAATGTCTTGTATATATGTTTCATTCAACGCTATCATTATTCCATTTTTTTTTCTTATTTTTTTGGCCAAAATTATAATACTAATTTAAATTGGCTTAACCTCTTAAGAGATCGTGTACCTGACTTTCTGAAAAGCAAAATCTGCTTCTTACAGAAAGTAAAAATAAAAGCAGGAGTCCCTATAAATATGCCTTATATGATCTATCGAGTTATTATTATTATTATTATTATTATTATCATCGCTCGTGAATACAAAAAAAACATTTATAAGTCACAAATTATTTCACGATCACAAATAAAAAAAATTATAGGTCACAAATCTATCAAATTAATAAGCCACATATTATTCGTTGGCCACAAGTCAAATTTTTATATATAACAAATTATTTTACGGGAACGGGGCAAGGGTCATTGCCTCGAATCGGGTATAGAGCGGGTACGAGAATCATAGTCCCCGCCTCGTTACCCGTCCCCGTTTAAAGTTAATTTTAAATTTAAGTTTTTTAGCGAACAAAAATAATAGATTTATGATATTTTTAAAGAGAATATAAATTATTTCTAACAAATTGATAAAAAAGTAATAATATTTACTAAGTAAAGATATAAAAAATAAATGAGGCGATAAATGCCTGCCATGCCCCGCCTCTATCCCGTCCCGAACGGCCGAACCTGCCCCGTCCCATTTTAAACGAGAATGAGGATGAGCCAAGATAACAAAAATACTCGATGAGACGGGGGTGGGAATGGTCAACCCGTCTCATACCCGCCCCGTTGACATCCATAGGCAGCGGCATGCAGCCATCTTCAGTGAGAAGGGAAAATGTGTGCGACGGCGAACACACCCACCATCACCACACCGTACCATTACCGCTACAACGTAAACCATCAGCCACCACAAACTGGAGACAATTTCATATCGTCGTACGAACGTTACTACCTGCCATCTTCTGTGAGAAGGGAAAATGAGTACGACGGTGTAAAAACCCACCATCTCCGTTAGTGCGTGAACCACCAACCGACACAAATCGAAGAATAATCTACTTGTAGACCAAAGCCACAATACCAGATCTCTACAAAACACCATCACCACCCGTGGACCGGAGAAGAAGAAGCCACATTACCCATATTTTCAATGCCTGTGCACTCACTTCCAAAAGTAAAAGCCATAGATACCGAAGTGAGCCACTGAGCACCGCTCACTGTTGAAGAAGAAGCCACATTGGCGATCTGGCCAACGTCCACGCGGCAGTAGTAATCTGGCACTGCGCACGACGACACTCAGTTCGCCGCTGATGCTGATGCCGCTTCCACCGGTGAAAAGGAAAATGGGAAAAATAAAATTCATCTGATCGTGGAGAAATTTGGGGTTTAGGGATAGTTGGAGTGGGGTTTGAGTAATTAATATCTGATTTAGAGAGAAGATAGATGAAAAATGTGAATTAATATCTGATTTTTGGGGGTAAGAGTGGCGTCGCCTGTGAGAAGACGGAGAGAATAGAGATTGAGAAGAGAGAATGAGTAGGAAAATTCTAGGGTTTGCCG